ATTACATTATTGCTTCTATTATTACAAACGGACAAATTACAAAAGAGGTGGGAACCTCCACTATCTGCTCTTCTTTTTCTTCATTATTTGCCTTCTGATGTAAGCGCTTACATCATTCCTAGATAGGTTCAAATTCTCCTTGTGATTCTGGGTTGCATGATTCACAAATGTGATCTTCTGTGAATTCCTTCTGTAACCTGATGCAGATTTCCTTATTGATTATTTCTGGAATATCAAATTGTATTTTTATTAGTGTATCCAGATATTTATTGAGTAGTTTGATGTCTATCTCTGCTGGATCTCGTGCTTGCATACTCCAAATGATAATGGACTTGGCTGCATAATTAATTCGTCCCTTGATTTTAATGCCTTTGTTTAAAATTATGACATAATTATTAAGGAACTGAATTAATTCGTCCTCATGTTGTGCTTGTCCGATGTCTGGATATTTCCATTGCTTATTCCAATTTGACAAAACTGTATTGCTGGTTGAATTACTTCTTGTGACTTCTCCCCCTCCCCAAAAATTGGTGTGGTGGCGAATATCTTCATGAATCCTTCTTTTTTCCCGAGTACGTGTTTACCGTATTGGGATATTGCCTTCTTGATGTTGATCGGGAAGTATTAGAACATATTTGCATATCTGAAATAAATACAACTCAGTAACCCTGATTGGAACATCATGTATACCTTCATCGGATCTGCTTCTGGAAGAGCTATTGCTTTTGGTCCAAGATATAGACCATCGGTTGGATAGATACTTGTCTTCTTATATTCATCTGTGTAATTAACCACAAACTTGAATTCATGGTCAAAAATATTTTTTGTGAGCTTGGTCATTTCTTCTTTTTGTTGTTTGGACTGTATGCTTCCAATTGTGAGTGGTCTGCTGTTTGGAATTTTGCCTAGTATAGGCATTTGCTTCGGTGCTGCTGTAGCTGGTGATTGAGCTTTTCCTGCATAGCTTGCCTTGAACTGAGCTGGCGCTTCTTTTGCTTCAAACAGGCTAGAAAATTTTTTATGTATGACAGGCTGTCCTGTTATAAACATAGCTGCTTGACTCCATTGGGAAAATATCCCTTGATTAGGACCTGTAAATATTACATAATGGGTTTTTGTTCTTTCTTCCTCATCAAAATGAGGTTTTTCTTTTTCTTCCGATGTTTCAGCCTTTTCGTTTTTCTTTTCTTCTTTGCCTTTTTCTTCAAACAGTATGGCTTTTATTTGGCTGATTTCTTTTTCTTTTTTCTTTATCTGCTCAGAGAGTTCTTCTACCTCTTTTTCCAACATTCTTAGACTATCTTCTAAGACTGGTTTGAGTGCTTCCATTCTCGTGTTAATGTATCTGCTAAGTAATTTTTTTTTCCTGAAATATATACAGATATATAATCAAACTGTTGTGCTTTTAAGCTCCATCTTAAAAGTCTGCCTTTGTTGTAAGATTCTTTTATTCGATATTTTGTAAAATCTTTTGTATACAAACTGTCTGTTTGAAAAATAAATTTGACTGGTTGTAAATCAAGTTTAAATTTTTCCAAAGCATTTATAAAAGCCAATGTTTCTTTTTCATGTGTTGTATAGTTGCGTACTGCTTGCTTAAACGTTCCTGATACCCATTTGGATAACAGTAATTGCTTGTTATTGCTTTTGTCCAATACTAATTGCATAGAATCATTAGATTCACTATTTTCATCCAAACTATCTTTAGTTATCCTTTGTATAAAGGATTTAACTTCAGATGGTTTGTTGTTCATGATAAACTTATTAAACTCTTCATATGCATCTGGAATTGCTTGAAGGACTGCTCCCCAAGTATCCTGACTTGCATCAGTATTTAAAATAAGTAAATCACTAGGCTTTGGTAGATAAAGTCGTGGTAAATGAGTACATAGTCTTTTTAAAGATTGTACTGCTCTAGTTGCATTGTCTGTCCATTTCCATGGTATTTTTTCTGAAATCATTTTTTGTAGTATCTCTCTTTCTCTTGCAAGACTTTTTATAAAACTTTTTTCTCCAATATATGTTAAACATCCAAGAAATTTTTGAATTTGATTTCTATTTTGAAGTTGATCTGGAAACTGATGTATTTTTTCAAGTAGATATTTTTGAGGTTCGATATAGCCTCCTTCGACTATTTTCATTCCCAAAAATTCTGTTTCTGTTTTACAATTTTTTGCTTTTTCTTTACTTAAAATAACTCCTTTATTTCCTAATTGTATTAAAACCTTTGCAAGTTCTTTTAAATGATTTTCTTTTGATCCTTGTGTAAAAACAATTATATCATCTATATAAGCAAGACTTACTGATTTTAATCCCTTTAGATTACTATCCATAAATCGTTGATATATACTGGGTGCTTGTTTAAGTCCAAATGGCATTACATTGTATTCATAGTGGTTTTGAGGTGGACAACTAAATGCCGTTAAAGGTTTAGTTTCTTCATGTAATCTTAACTGCCAATATCCTGATTTAGCATCTAAGGTACTATACCATTTTGCCTTTTTAATTCGACTAAAAATATAATCTTGTCTTGGTAACTTATATGCATCTCCTTTAGTGGCTTTATTTATTTCTTTGTAATTTATAACCATTCTACGTTTTCCTCTTTTTAACTCATTATGATTTTCTACATAGAATGCTGGTGCACTATGTGGACTTGTACTAGGTTGTATAATACTATTTTCTAACATCTTAGTAGTTTCTTCTTGAAATTCCTTAACATCTCTTTCTGTATATGGTATTCTATTTGGCACATTGACTTCTTTGCTTGAATCTATTAATTCGATTTTTACTATCATGCTATTTGTGTTTTACTTGGATCTAATGAATTTTGACTACATATGTTTTCTAATAACTGATTAACATGTTCTTCTAATGTTATACTTATTACTTTATAAATTTGAAATGAAACTTTTCTTAATATCTCCCCTCGTATGAAAGAAGATGTGTTATATATTTTTGTAGTAATTATTTTACTAGATTGTGTATCTAGTTGTGGACATCTAAGACTTATACTATTTAGTCTTTGAATACATGGGTATATAACTTAAGAAAGTTATTTTTAATTATAAATGGTAAACCTGTATTTTTCTTATAAAGACTTGGTAAAGGAAATCTTTTTCCTTCTATTAACAATACTAAATATGTTGCTCTATAATCAATAGTTATTGTCTTATTATTTGCAATTCTTACTATAATCGGTTTGTCTAATTTCTTCCAGTATTTACTAGGTAATATAGATTCTTTTGCTAGACATATTGTTGCACCTGTGTCTATATATGCTAACAGAAATTTATTAAATAATTTTACTTTTATAAATGAACTATTTTTACTCATCTTCTGATTCAGATGATTCCAAATCACTATCTGTTTCTGATTCTAAATCATATATATCAAAGTCTAATAGTTCACCTTCTTCGTATTCTTCTTCTATAGGTTCATAACCTAAAAAAAATATCATTTTTATTATTCTTTCTTTTTCTGGAATGTTTTTAGGACATTCATTTGCGTAGTGTCCTATTTCCTGACATTTCCAACATCTACAAATTTTTTTTTCCTTTAGGACAATATTTGGGTTTTCCTAAGTATTTTTCCTGTTTTCTAAACTTACCTTTATATTTTGTTTTCCATGGTTTTCTAAATGTTTTATATCTTCTTGGTCTGTATCGCCTGTTAAACTTATTGTATTTATAATATTTTTTTCTTTCTATATGGTTTATAACAACCAAATTCTTGCGGTACACTTTCTAATTGTTTACAACATCTTGAATCGACTTTAGTCATTTCATGGTGTTCTATTTTCCTTATACAAAGTTCATCTCTATATTCTTTTGCATATTTTTCTAAAATTCCTAAAGTTTTTTCTTCTCTTGTTTCATTAATTTTCTTCTGAATATATTTATTCATTTCATATTTAAGTTTACTTTCGACAATTTCTATTAATCCTGATCGATCCTTAATTTTATAAAAATTTTCTCTTACTTGACAGAAGAAATTTTCGATATAACATATATTACATAACTTCATGTTAGTTAGAAATCTAACTACCTTATCTTTTTGTGTTTCTTTTGACTCTTGTCCTGTAATTCCTAAAAATTCTCTTAATAGATTTTTTGCTAATTCTCTTAAAGCTGTTATTTTATATTCTGCTCCTGTTTCTGAACCACTGGCGTCGAGATTAAGTGGGATTTGAGTATTTTCTAAATAATCAAATAATACTCCTGATGTTTTATACCTTACATAATTGGAAAAATCTGTTAATGTCATTCCATTTATCATTGAATCATTAGTTTGGACTAGTAATTTTAATTGATTAGTCCAAGTGACTATTAAATCTTCTGCATTGGTTGCACAATCTATATTTAGTATTCCATTAGATAGATTTCTTTCTTTTTCTAAATATGGTGGTGGTATATTTTTCTTAATTTTTTCTTGATGATAACTATAATCATTTTTGTATATAAAATCTTTAAAGCTGCTTTCTACGTAATTATTTTGTGAACTAGATGCTTCATTATTGTTTGTTCTTGGTCGCTTTGGTGATAATGGTGGTGTTGTATGAGGTTTTTGATCAGTCATATTAAATGTTGGTTCGTCTTCATCTTCACTATCTATTCCGTAGATTATTCCTTGTTTATCTTCATCATCTATTTTTGCCATTCTAGTTTCTTCAATATTACATTTTTCTAATAATTGGGTTAATCTATCTATGTCATCCATTAGAACTTGTTGGTGGTTCTATTTGAATTGGTTTAAATAACTTTTTCCGCATTTTTTCCTTTTGTATTAAATCTTGTAGTTCTTTTACTGATCCTTTTATTTCTTCTAATTTTTCTAATGTTTCTAATTGAGTTTTATTTATTATTTCTATAAGTGTTCCTATTTGTTCTGAAACTCTTGGTGGTTCACTCATATTTTTCGATTCAATTCTTTTTAATTATCTTCCTTAATAGTTTTTCTTAAGAAATAGAATCTTCTTTTGGTTTTGGCTATAGCAAAATATGGTGTGTTCATAGCATTCAAATAGATTAATAATTGCCACATGTGTTATTCTTATTGGACCTTGCTCAATATGGGTAGTACCCATACGGGCAGCATGAAATGATTCCAGTTTTACATATGTAATATATCAAATTAATCTTCTTTTGATGAGTTTCGATTTAACATCCATACAATATGTATAAAAAAAATTATATTTATCTTCATAACAATAATGAAATTAGTTTTAATATTAATTAGAAAATAAAATAATTTATCAACTAATATATTTATATTTCAAGTAGTTATATGATATAAGTTATAAAAACTAATATAATATAACACATGTAAGTCATAAGTAACACATATCATTCTAAAATATATAGTAATATATTTTTTTTTAGAAAAAAAAACTAAATTTAATATAAATTTCTCATTAATTTTAAAATTTAAGAATAATTTTTTAACAAGCACTCGTGTAATACACGGGTGTCGTACTAGTATATAATCAACCCCATGTACAATCTTGTTTTTCAGGATTGATAATATAATATAATCCTATCTAAAAGCGCAACGAATGAAAAAGTCGATATTACTTGAATTTGATGATATACACGTGGCAGTAACATAACACGTGGAGGAGAAACAGAATACCTTCACGCCACGAAGCTCCAACCGTGGATAAGCTTTGCCCCCATTCTAACGCATATATACATTACATGGGGTTTTACTCGCATCTCTGAAACAAATTTAAAACAATCATCATAAAGCCATCTCTGAAAAGGAATTAAAGCCGATCAGAAATCAAAATCACCGGAAATAGAACCATGTCGGGGGCGCAGGGAGCACAGCCGCCGGAGTCATTCACGGCGACAACGTACGAGTCCGTGGAAGGCGGCCAGAACAAGACGCGGCTGGACATCCACTCCAGGGAGGATGAGGGTGGGATTCAGATCGAGAAGATCCAGGATAAGGTCGAGGACTCCGCCGGCACCGGCGGCCCCGTTTTCGGCGCCGGAAAGGACGAGAACAAGGACGATTTAGGCGTCACTGGCACAGCTGCTTAGGCTAAAATTAAAACTAATGTTGACCATCTCTGCTTATTTTACATTTCTGTTTGACCCTCTTGTTATTTTTCCTTTTCTTGCCTGTTTAATTCTCTAATAAGTTGTTTGTTTATATTTTGTATGGTTGTAGTTTCCTGTTGTGTGTGTGTGATGTTTGTGGTGGATGTGCATAATGAAGTTGTTTAGTAATGGCAATTTTTCGTTCTCTTTTTTTTTTCATCTCTTAAAAAAAAATGTTGTTAATCGAAACCGCACCGAACTGAACCGAAATTTTTGGTGCGGTTTTGGTTCGATTTTTCTTCCAGTTTCGGTGCAATTCAATTTGAATAAATGGACATTTTTTATTTCGGTTTTTTGCGATTTGGGTGGTTTTGCACCGAATCGCACCATGCTCACCCCTACAGTAACAGCAGAGTTATGGGGAACCTCTGCAAGCAGATACAAAATAAATATATGGGAGTTGTATGTAATTCTTAATACATGGGAGAAAAACACACATGTTTCATTAAATACAGGAATTTGACACAAATACTCCTTAAAAACAGTAACTAAAAGAAGCATAAAGCATTATTGAATTTTGAAAACCTAGAGTACATAGTTTTTGTATTGATAGAATATTATTTAACTATCCAGACATTGTTTTGTTGGACAGTTGAGTGCAAGCTGGAAATTCATTTGTGAAACTCCATGATCCAAATATTATAAGCAGAGCAAACTTTGATGACATTCTTAAAGCCAGCACAATCAGCTAAGGCCTGAAATTCCTTGTATGTCCTCTCTTTGCCACCAGGATTATAGGCTAACATCAAAATATCGAACAGAGACGCCGACGTGCCGGCGGTCCCACTATTGGGGTCCTCCGGGAAAATAATGTCTGCAACTATCACTTTCCCATCATGTGGAAGGGCTTCATAGCAATTCTTCAACATTTTCTTGCAGTGTGCATCACTCCAGTTATGACAAATCCACTATATAATTTTGTCGTTAGGTTCTAATGTTAACTTAATAGAACAAGAGAATAAAAGTTCTGCCTATATTTTCATGCTTGTGACAATGCATCACTCTAAAGATCACATAACCTATTTAAGTTAATCAACTGACCTTCATGAACATGGCGTCGGCTTTGGGCACAGTAACAAACATGTCGCCACCGATATGTTCCACACCTGCACAAGTTTCACTATCATTGAACCTTCAAATTTTAATAAGTACATTAATTAATTTGACACCAAAAATATATACGGAGGCCATATATATAATAATGTATATGTATTATTCAATTCATGTAAATGTAGTAATTACTAGTAGAGAACAAATGTATGAAAATAGTTAGGAGCATGGATATTTAAATACCTGGGTAAGAAGGAGCATCTTTGATAACATGGGGCAGATCGAAATTAATGCCCCTCATCGATGGATATTTAGATACGATCATCTTAAGTGAAGCTCCGATCCCTCCACCAACATCGACTAAGGTGTTTAGACCCTCGAAACCTTTGTATTTTTCTAAGATTTTTTTCATGAAAATGGTGGATTGTTCAAACATGCCCTGGTTGAAAACTTGGTTAAATCTTGGGTCTGTAGTCGGGTAATCGAACGCCTTCATGCCATATGCTCTATCGAAAGCTACTCCTCCCTCCAAAATAGCATCTTTAAGGTGATACCTATCAAATTCAGTTATTCAGGTACCATTCTTTGGTATTACTTTCACCACTTTATTTCAAAATTTGTTGTAAAAAATATAAAGAATAAATCTTGCAGATATAAAGTAGCAACTTCAATTAACTAAATTTGAGAATTATATCGACTCACTCAATCAACATCGTGATTAAGGAATTAAAGTGGGCGCAGAGAGTTACAGAAATTCTATGGAGTTATTAGATGGCTTTTTTATGGAGTCATTTATAACTTGATGTGTTGACACATGCCCAATCCCTCCTATATATATAATTCTCGAATATGCTGAGCTTAAGTGGCAGACTCGCATGCTTCGGATCCTATGTGTCAAAATTCTATGTTTTATTATTTGGCTTGGATAGATTTTAATTTAGTTTCAATCCAAATAATATTAAGTTCAGATTACCATAAATATGTTGATTTATTTATGACCATTTTAGATGTATTAATTGTATTTTAATATCGTTTTCTATTATATCTATTGAATTGCAAATGTATTTAAAATTATATAAAATAATTTTAAAATTAACTAAGTTATATTTATCTTTATAGTAATAGATTTATTCAAATTAATTAGAAAAATAAAATTATTTTTTAACTAATATATCTATGTTTAATGTAGTTATATGTTATAAGTTAGAAAAATTATTATAATATAACACATGTAAGTCGCACAAGTAACAAGTGTCATACTAAAATATACAATAATATATATTTTTACAATAAATATTTAACTTTCAACTACTTTTTCTCATTAATTTTAAATTTTAAGAAAAAAATTTAGCAAGCACCCGTGTAATACACGGGCGTTGTACTAGTTTGTATTTATTGTAGGACACGTGTTAGTACACCATTTGTGAATAATCGTGGATGACTCCATAAGCTGAGTCATTCGATTGCTTTATAGCAAAACCATAGAGCATTACTAGATTTTTTATTGAATTTTTTTCCCACGTTTGCTTTAGTGGTTTTTCTATATAATTATATTTTAGCTTACACTGGTAATTAATTTTATATAAAAAAAAATCTATAAATATATAATTTGGAGCATCACATCATTTAATTTTATTACCATGCATTAAATTTTGTTCTCTCTCCAATTTCAACATTCAATTTCATTTTTAAGTCACAAAATAACTTGCATGAATGCCATAAATTATGAGCATAAATAAATCAAGGGAATTACAAAATTGAACTCAAATTTTAAGTCACACCCACTCATGAAAATTACAGAATGTATTAGCGTAAAGAAAATGGTAACGGCTATTCCACAACAATACTTGATCAAAATCAATTTTAAGAATCATTTTCTTATTTCATATTTTGTTTCATGAATTAAATTATGATTTTTTTTTATATTGTTATCTTTTTTAAGTATTCTTCTATGTGCAATTGCACAAGTTGATTATTATATCTATTTATATATAATTTGGAGCAAAAAGTATTCTTTATATAATTTTATCATCCTGCATTTAATTATATTATCCCCCAAAAAGTTTCAGTATTCAATATTATTAATTTTCATTTCTCGCCTAAAGTAATTACCATTTCTCTTATTTAATTTTATTATTCTGCGTTAAATTACATTATCCCCCTATGTGTCATGGGTTTGTTGTAATTACCATATCTCTTATTTACTCTGAAAGTTTAAAAATGTATATAATGACCTTTTTTCTTATTTATATTGGTTAAATATTTTAGTTTTTTTTACCTACTTAGCTTAAAAAAAAAATCTTATTTTGATGAACTTTTTTTGCCTTTTTTTTTATCTGGTTGGCCTCTTGAGTCGTGGTTTTTGTTGTAATTGTACTTTCAATTTATTCCCTACAAAATTCAAGAATGATATTTTTTATTTACTTTTTTTGTTGCTTTATTTTTTTTATTTTCTATTTTTTTAGTGTTTTCACCTCTGTTCGATCGCACATCCTTAAAATTAAAGTAAAGTATTTAATAAATAACATAAATGAATATTAAAACTTTATTTTAACAAAGTTGCGAGTAGAAATAAGGTGTACTTAACGATCTTCTTTTTTTTTAATTTGAAAACTGGACACATGGCTCATATGTATATGCAGATCGACTGTTGCAACCGAACAACATGTATATTCTTCAGAAAACCATAATAACATTATTAAATATAACAATATCCGTTCATTGTTTGCAAAAACAAATCAATGTTTTGAGCAAAAAACATCAAATTATGCAGATATTTCAAATTTTTGAAATAAAATGGCAAAACAAACACTAAAATAATATTTTATATCCAATCTACTTCTGAAATCAACTGAAAACATGATTCTTTAAAAAGAAATTATATATTCTCAATAAACATTACAGATCTCGATAGATCCGTACTATAATTGCCCTATTGAACCATTTTCTTATGATTTATTGATGTATGTTAGCAAAATAGGGACGACAAGAAAATATCAATCGACTTATGAAATTAACTAAAAATACGGTTTTATAGAAAAAATAAAAAAATCATAAACTCTTAACAAAGATTACAAATCTTGATAGATTCGTACTATAATCAGCCGATTGAAATATTTTCTTACGATTTATTGAAGCATTTTAGTCAAATAGGGACGACAACCTTAAATCAAAACAAAAAATTCCAGATCTTGATTGATATATTATATAATCAGACGATTTGCACTTTTCACTGTGATTTAGTAAAACGAGACTGTAAAATCGGAATGATTTTGCTGTTATATCTCGCTTTTGTTTGAAATTTTTATTTTTTGAAAAAATTTAGAATTTGATCGGAATATCTCACCGAAAAAACAAAGAAAATGGCATGATTATCGACAAAAAATGATAAAAAAAAATGAGATATTGGATATTTTTTACATAGAAAAAAACGCGTGATCTGCCGATATGATTTAGTAAAGCCCAAAAAAAATAATGTTCAAGTTGAACCCAATAAACTTATTGAGAATATCGGCTCAAGCCATATTTATAAAATTTATAATAAAAATTTAAGCCCAATTCACCACTTTTTTTAATATGTTATCCAGCTTAATTTAACAATTGTTTATAATGCAATTATTTGTTCAGTAGATAATTTCGATCCAAATGTTTACATTTGCTGACAATTATAATAAATTCGGCATATATTTTATTATTATTTATTTGTTTGAGGGTACCGTTCGAGTTTCAACGCAGACAATTTTCTATCATGGTCTCATATACTATGACGATCAACAAGAGCCAAGACCAATTTCCCTCACACGTCCGCTTTGTCTTGAACAACCCTGTTTTCAATCATGGATAGTTGTACGTTGCTCTTCATAGAGTTACGAATGGGAAGCGTCTGAAGATAATGATATGTAGTGATGGTGATTCCGACTATAGGAAAACCATAAATGTTATATACAAATAAATATGTTTAATAAAATTTAGAATCATTTTCTTAATTCATATTTTTTTTCATGAATTGAATTATGGTTATGTATTTTTGTTTTTTTTATTTATATATTATTATCTTTTCGACATATTTTTCTCCGTGCAAATGCACGGGTTGATCACTAGTTCACATTATAAATCAACTTGTCATTCATTATTAAATGTCTCATTGTACGTTTTGTTTTGTTTAATTTAAATTTTCAATTATTGATGAATGATAAATAAACGTGAAACTAATTCTATTCTTAATATTAAATAATTAATAAATCAATTAATGAAACAATAAGACACAAATGGCAATTGTTAGAATATGGTTGGTGGTTACAACCACCATTAACCTAAATTAATTTTATTATAAAATAATGTATATGAATGACTATTTTGCCCCTATTGAAATTATATTATTACGATTGTGTCATCAGAAGTTTTCCTATAAATAGGAGCTTCAGTTGTAATGAAAATCAATCGGTTACGAATATATTTTCTCTAGTCTCTCTTTCTCTCTAGCTTTATAATATTTTCTCCATTTTCTTTTATCTCTAGTTTTATAGGAAAATGCTACGGTTCTGTTACGGAACTATTCCGTCGAGTTTGTAACCGTTAGATCATCATGTAACCGTCAGAAATAGTTGATTTAACGGTTACAAATTGTGACGGAATGAATCTGTAAACGGACCATAGCATCTCCCAGTTTTATAACACATTGACCAAAAAGGGAAGTGGTGCAATTAATAAGAAAATCAGGCATTTATTTAATAAGAAAAACAGCAAAACAAAAAAAAAAAAAGGGAAAGGGCATTCAATTCACCATGTCTCAATGAAAACCCTGTCCTGTGTCATCAGCGAATAGCAGGCCGCCAGCGAGACCCCGTCCTCATTTCGAGTCAAATACCGCCGCACCGCCGCCTCCAGCCCGTACCTCCGCTGGCCGCCCTCCGTGGTGCAGGTCAGAACGCCGTGCGCCGCCAGGAACCGCAGAATCCGGTCCAGCATTGCCGCCGCATCAGGGTTTTTCGTCGGGAGGCGCGCGGCCAGCTCGGAGGCCGAGGCGGCCGGCTCGGCTTGCTTGATCAGCTCAAGGAGGTCGAGCTCGACCGCGGCTCGGAGGACCATGGGAAGGACAGAGCCCGCAGCCAGCTGCATTGCAAACACGCCAGCTTCTTCATCATTGTCTTCTGGAGGGGATCGGGCCGCGGGGTTACTGGTTTTCTCGCTGTTGGAGCCCATTGGGTTGATTAAATTGGGATATATTGTGAAGAGGAGAACTATGAATATAATTTGGTAAAGGCAACTAAGCTATGGCTAGATGTGATTCATGTGATAGAGTGGGAATGGTGGGCTACAAATAACTGAGGATAAATAAAAAGGTTGGGAAAGAAAGTTAATGGATGGGAGCCTGGCAGATATTGTTTTCCCTTTTTTTTTTTTTTTTTTTTTGGAAAAAATATAGGGAAATGTTGCAGTCTCATTACGGAATCATTTTGTCGAGATTTATAACCGTTAGATTATCTTATAACCGTCGTGGATAGTTGATCTAACGGTTACAAACTCCGACGGAACGTTTCCGTAACGACACAGTAGAATCACCCAAAAATATATACCTACTTTTTTTTAACAATTTTGATTTAGGTGGAGAAGACAACTCAAGTTTGGATGTGGGGTAGCATTTTTTCCAAGAGAAACCCGTGTTTTTACTTTGAAAGGCTGGTGAGCTTGTGCTACTATTATGGAGTTCCAGGCCATATTGACAGATCTTGTGAAAAAAGAGTGTTAACTTCGGAGGGAATGTTTGTATGCAAATATATCCACTCAAAATGAATTTTTTTTTTTTTTAACTAGAGTTAATTTTGAAAAAAAAAAATATATATATATGGTTAGTTGTTACTAGGATTTTAATTTTATATTAAATTAATATTTAAAATTAAATATTTAGAATTGATTTTATATAAAAGTATGAGAGAATATAGTGTGAAATGATGGTTAGTTAGAATTATGTGAGTTGATGAATAATAAATTAAAGTTGATGTGATGTGTAAGAATGATTGATTGATATTATAAAATTATACTTATAATGTTGATGATGGTAGAGTTAGGTTAATATTGAGTTAGATTTTTGTAATATGAATTAAGCATACAGAGTAATTTTATATACAAACACACCCTAAAACTCAACAATTGGTACAAAATTTTTAACCATATGGTCAAATAATGTTCAACTCCTACACTAGGTAAAAGCCACTACCACTTAGAGAATGGTAGTTGTATAAATAGTATATTTCTAGTTTTGTTTACTTTATTCACATCTAAAGTTTTCACACATCAATGATAGAAAGATTTGACTCTTTTGAAAACACACAAAAGACCCAAAAAAACAAAGAGAAGATATGTCGAAACGAGATATAGCAACAAGAGAAAAGAAGAAAAAGGATTTAATAGAGAAACTCCGAACATTTGGTGATCACAGATGTGTCCATATTAGAGAAGATGTGTAGAAACAAGATATCCAGCAAGAGAAAGGAAAATGATTTAATAGAGAAACTCCCGAACATTTGGTGATGAATCGCAGATGCATCCATATCCATGGTGCAAAATATTAGTAAGCTCAATAGATGATTAACTAAAATTTCAATATTAGAACACTCGTCACAGATCTGAGCTCAAATCACAACAATCCTCCAGAATTATGTAAGTTTTGAGTTTTTACCACCACAGAGAGGGGGAAAGAAAAAGCTGTCAAGAGACCGATTCAAATTTAATATCTATTTAACTTTCTTATTTCCTCCATTTTTTCTTTTCATTAAAGATGCTATGATATGTTGATGACAGCAGACTGGTCGCCTGCTTCCCTGCTTATGATGCAACAAAAACGTTGAGAAAATTAAGAATCCATCAATGGGGAACACTTCCAGCAGGCTAACATTTAATGCATTCGAACAAACAACTTTAAATAGAACGGAGTGAAAGTCCAAAAAAAGAAAGAAAGAAAGAAAGAGCGAATAGATTATATCAACACGGCTCGTATCGAACCAGATTTATGAAACAGCATTCTACAGGAAGTAGTTGAGACTAATTGGAGTCCCTTTTAACACAAACAGTGTCATGCCACTACACATTTTTAACCAGATCCATCCTCTTTTCCATCATCCATAGCAGACGATGCTGCCCCCTGAGATGTGGCACCAGTCAATGATTAGTTGAAAAATGTGCTCGCATTAACCATCTAATGTTGTGATTTTTGCACGTTTAATTCTTCGCACTTGTTCATTTTCCGGCTTATTTGATTCTATGTATGATTCTCGTGCCTTGATGAGTTTGTTAGTGTTTTCAGTGTTTTTGAGATTATCTTAGAGCATGATGATTTTGGAGGCAAGAACATAAGTGGAAATAATGATGATGAACTTCAGTACTGGGTGACCCCGTACCGAATCAGCAGACCCTGTACTGCATTGGGCAGGCCCATACAGCCCGTGAGTATTGACTGAAGTGGGCCTAGTTGACTTGGAGAGATTTAATTTTGTGGACATTCACGTGACAAATAAAGAGGGGCAGAGTTTTGTTATTCTGGGACTGGACTTTTGGAAAAAGGAGATTTTATCTTTGGACTGCAAAAAAAAAAACCTAACGGAGGATCGAACAGAGGAGAAGAGAAAGGGATCGCAGAACAAAGCAACAGAGAAGAAAAATATTCTTTTCTTTCTTTTCTTTCTTGTGTAATTAATTTCATGAACATGTTTTTGAATATTATGCTTAGTGAGTAGTTCTTTTATTTCTAATCCCGGGGAAGTCGAACCCTATGATTGACGATGTTTGATTAATTTCCATAGTTGATAATTTCAATATCTCTTTTGGAATTGTTTGTGTTATTTTGAATAATTTACCATGATGTGTTTAGTCTTGTTTAGTTTGATCACCTAGATTAGGCTTTGCATATCTACATCTGAATTAGGCCTTCAATCCGTAATTGTTGATGTGTTTAATTCCTAAGAGGTAACCGGAAGATGGTAACTACCGGGGATAACACGACCTAATTAAGTGAACGAACGCGGTTGAGTTCACTAATTAGTCTAGCCTATTTTTATAGATCGTAAAGCGACTGATTGTATTAAATCTAAGAAGCGTCTTCTAGACTGTACAAGAAGTCAGGTTTAATCGCTGAGCGTCTCACGGTTAAATTAAACTTAAGGAAAAATTCGGGCAACAGACCGTGTTGTTGCCTAGGGCTAGTAATTCCATGAGATAGCGAGATTTGACATTAAAATTGATTAGACGAGTTAATCGAGGGTGTAGACGGAACCGTGGATTAGAAGTTTCCCCATTCATTTGATAAATCATTCTTATTTGCTGCATTTTATTTCATTCTGTTATTTCGCAATTTTAGTGGTTAATTAATTCATACAAAATCCCCCCCTTTTATTTGTGTGTCCGTACTTTCAATTAAAGAAAATAATAGCAATTAAATTCTACACTCCCTGTGGGTTCGACCCTTACTCACTACTACTACCAGTTGGTAGAAGTTGTAAGGAAAAATAAATTTTACAATTTGACTGTCTTGCGACAAGCGGTCAGTCAACACCTCACCTGGGGGTGGGTGGTCAAACTTGCATGTGGCTCCGAATTTGCACGTCCCAGTCTTCATGTAATAAGGGCAGTGTATAGCACCCTACAAGCATGATTACCATAGTTATTGCCACTTTTTCCAAACAAATAACCTAAGAAAATGAATGCGTTTATATATATATATATATATGGTTAAGGTGGAAAATAGATTGAAATGCATGATGTTGCCGTGTTAAAATGCTTAATAACATCATTGACGAACATGTTATAGTATCGTTTAAAAGCATGCACAACAGTGCTACCAAACGCGGATAGTACAAGCGAAGAAAATGAAGAATTCACATCAAAACCCGACAGTTGAAAATCATCAGATTATCCAAAGAACTGATTTCTCAAAGTCCCGTGGATGAAAATTATTCTCATATGATCCCTACACTACAGACACCCATACACACACACATTATACATATTAATGCCAGAAAAGAAATCAGGCAATTTAATTTTTTAGTATGAGATTTTTGCGCAACCTTAAAATAAACCCTATCAAACATCACAACTTCTGATGTCAGTGAATAAACCTCGCTCAACAAGATGAATAAGCACATCAAGGGCTTGCAAATGGTATTAAACATTATATTAATACAGAGCACATCAAGGGACGAAGCCCATTTTTCAAGAAAGATATAGTGCAAAGCATCAAAAAGGTTGGTAATCAAGGCCTCATAGGATGAGCAAAATACCTCTCTTCTAGGGAGGCCTGCAAGAGTGAGCTTCACATCTTCCTGCTGAGATTCAGGGGCTGGTGCTTTGGGTTTAGTACGATCAATAGGATGGTTAAATTTGCAGCTATAACCAAACTTGCATACCCCAGTTTTCATGTAATACTTGAACCAAAAATTACGACAGAATATTATTAGAATATGATATCACAGCCCCAAAAAGACACACATGACAAACCCAAAGCACAGAAGAAACAAAACAAACATTTTAGAAATTGTCTCCCAATGCACTCTTACTACACATCTGGGAAGCAATAGTTATGAATTAACATGTAGAACAAGTAGCAACGCAAATCATTATAGAAATTGACTCCACATGCTGAGCCCCTAATCGCAATGGATGATTTGTGATAAACGGGCATATGTAGAACTCGTCCCACAAGCTAGCTCAAAAGGAGAGGGTTCCATACCCACACTAATTCACAATAACAGCCAAGTAACTAACTGATGTTGGATGAACATAACTTCTAAGGATACAAAACTTTTTATTTTTGTCAATTAGGTTAAGATTTATATCATTGAAACTGGAAATTAGGCAAAAAAAAAATTCACAGAAATACTATCCATCTCAGTTTTCTCTACAATCCAACAAACGCAATTAAAATTAAAAATTAATCATTATTATATATTTTCCAAAAAAAAATACTATTAATCCACTCACATATTTCTAACTAACAATCTTATCAATCAATACTTTATTATTTTTATATCACACATCAACT